TGGAGAAGAAAATGTAAACACAAAATTAAAAAGCAGAGGAACAAAGACACGTTTTATGTGCTGCTTCATGCTAGATGTTTTTGTACGTATCCTTGTACAAAGTAGTGGTCTCATTTTACCATAGTGAGTAAGCCCCTTGTCTCTACCTTTAAGGAACTTAGAGTTTGATAGGCTTAGAGGTTCTCAACTGGCATTACTCTCGAGAGTATTGAGCAATCTGTGGGGCAGTTGCAATTGTCACAAATATTGAGGGATGCTGTTGGAATTTAATGTGTGGGATTTTGTCACAATGAAGAATTATCCCATCAAAAATGTTTATAGGTCTCCTTTCGGAAAACAACATGCTGAGTTAAATAGTAGTAATGCTAATAAAACACTTGCATATTGAGCACTGCCATTGTGTTCAGAGAGTTCTACAGGTACAGTCCATATTCTCTGATACGTAGCTCTAAGTTCAGAAATCTCTAATAATTGAAATTTTTTAAAAAAAATCTGTTTGGTAAAGCGTGACCTGAATTGATATGAGAACTTTTTTTTTTTTTTTTTTTAAAGCTGAGAGCTGCATTTTTTTTATAGCTGTATTGATGTGTAGTTCCCATATCATAAACTTCACCTGTTTTAAGTGTACAATTCAGTGATTTTTAGTAAATTTTAAAAGCTATACTTACTACCACAATCTAGTTTTATTACATTTTCATAACCCCTCAATTCTCTTGAACCTGTGTGAGACTTGTTACGAATAGTTTTGTCTATTTTAGTGTTAATTTCCAGATGTTTCACTGAAGAAGTATGGAAGTGTTTGATTATGGAGTGCTGCTCCATATCCTTTCTCAATGCCAGGTATTCATTCAGTTTCTGAGATCTGAAAAATTTTGAATTCCAAACACACCCAGCTGCAGAAGTTTCTTATAGCAGATCGTGGACTGTATGAACACATCCCATCCCACAATAACCCTTGGAAGTAGATGCTATTATTGTTCCTTGTTTTGCAGTTGAGGAAACTGAGGCACAGCCTTTATCCAAGGCTGAATGGACTGTCACAAGAAAGTCCAGTGGAAGTCTAGAGGAGAAAAATCTGTGACCACTGGGCCTGTAATAGAATTTGCCTATGTTTAAAGATGGAGGAAATAATCTTTTTTGTTTTTTAGTTGATACTAAAGAATATGCATAAAGTATTTAAAGTTTAACTCACGATACAATGAACACATGTGGACCCTCACCACCTATTCTAATAACTCATCACACCTTTCACTTTTTTGGGTGTCCATCCTCATCCCCTGTCTCCCCCACAACAGGGGTGACCACTGTCTACAATTTGTGCTTATCAGGCCAGGCATGGTGGCTCATGCCTGCAATCCCAGCACTTTGGGAGACTGAGGCAGGTGGATCACCTGAAGCCAGGAGTTTAAGACCAGCCTGGCTGATATGGTGAAACTCTGTTTCCACTAAAAATACAAAAATTAGCCAGGCATGGTGGTGGGTGCCTGTAGTCCCAGCTACTTGGGAGGCTGAGGCAGGAGAATTATTTGAACCCAGGAGGCGGAGGTTGCAGTGAGCCGAGATGGCACCACTGCACTCCAGCCTGGGCGACAGAGCGATACTATGTCTCAAAAAAACAAAAAAACAAACAAAAAAACCAAACAAAACTGTGCTTATCTTTCTTTGATTTTCTTTAGTTTTACTATATATTTTAATCCTTCAGCAACACTTTAATTTTGCATGTTTTTGAAGTTTATATAAATGGAATTATACTAAGTGTATTCTTTTTAACTTGTAGTTTTCCCTCAATACTTCTTAGGTTTATCTGTAATTCATTTGTTTTCATTGCTGTATAGTAGAACATACCATGATCTGTTCATACTTTGACTGTTGGTGGATATTTGTCATCTTTTCTTTTTTTTCCTGAAAGAAAGGTAATTCAAATGGTGCTATCTTAAATAGTCCTCTGAATTTTTCTTGATACATATGTGCTAAAGATTATGTAGATGTGAAATTGCAGGGTCCATCTTCAGCTTTATTGGATGATGCCTTGTTGTTTTCCAAGAGGTTATATAAGTTTATACTCCAATAATTGATAGGTGCTAAAATTTTTCCAATCTAAATGATATATCATTCTGATTTTAATATGTATTTCTCTGATGACTAATGAGATTGAGCTTATTTTATTGTAGCCATTTAGTTTTCCCTTTTTGTGAATTGTCTAGTCTTATGTCCATTTTTCTACTGGGTTGTCTTTTTATTTGAGACAGAGTCCTGGTCTGTCACCTTGGCTGGAGTGCAATGGCATGATCTCAGCTCACTGCAACCTCTGCCTCCTGGGTTCAAATAATTCTCCTGTCTCAGCCTCCTGAGTAGCTGGGATTATAGGTAGTTGCCATCACACTGGCTAATTTTTGTATTTTTAGTAGATACAGGGTTTCCCCATGTTGGCCAATCTGGTCTCGAACTCCTGACCTCAAGTGATTGCCCACCTCAGCCTCTCAAAGTGCTGGGATTTACTGGGTTGTCTTTTTAATACTCATTTATTAAACTTCTTTATGTGCTCTGGATACAAATCCTTTCTTGATAATACATGATAGAAATGTTTTTTCCTCGTTTGTGGCTTGTCTTTTTGATCTCTTTTTGGAGTCTTTGCATGAACAGAAGTTGTTAATTTTAATGTAGCTAATTTATGTTTTTCCATTAGGAATTTTTTTTAGTTTTTAAATTAGCATTTATGGAGTATTTTGTATGTGCTAGACCCTTTTCTAAGCACCTTATAAATATTTATTCATTAATATAATAACATTAGAGGCAAGTACTGTTGCTATTTCCATTTTATAGGTGAGGAAACTGAGGCATAGAATGTTAAGTGACTTTTTCAAGGTCACTCAAGTAGTAAATGGTAGAGCCAGGACTTGAACCAAAGCAGTTTAAGGAACTCTTGTTTAAGAAAGCCTTTTCTACCATGATATGACATGCAAATATTCTTATATGTCCTCTGAAACTTTTTTCTTTGCCTTTAGCATTTAGCTCTTCAGTTGCTCTGTAATAGATTTTTGTGTGTGGTGTGAGGTAGAGGTCTTGTTTAATTTTTTTCTATGTGGATTATCAGTTGTTTCAGCACAGATTACTTAAAGTCTAACCCTTTCCCCACCTCTGTAATACATGCTTTATAACAAATCAAATTTCCTTATATACCCATATCTATCCTGGGTTCTCCATGTTAGTGGTGAATTTGTCTGTCGGCAATGTACTGTATTAGTTAGTATGCATTTATAATAATTCTTGGTATCAGTAAGTCAAATTCTTCCATCTTGTTCTACTTCAGTAGATTTTTGGAAAGCTTCCTACTCTTTAAAAGCAAGATTGTAGGAGAATTTTTTACAGTCACGCACACACACACACACGCACACACTCTCATGCATACACACATTGGGGCTTTTGGAAGATGATTTGTCATTGCTGTTGCACTATCTTGTCTGCTGAAAATTTAGCAGACACAATTTCATTTGAGTGGCTTGAGCTCTGTTTATCTACATGGCAAACATCTCAAATGCACACGATGTAGTGGCTTGCAGAAAGCTTTTGATTCTTGTTAAACGGAGAGGAGGGAGAAAGGAAAGGAAAATCAGTCTAATAGATTACTAGTGACTTCTGTTTAAGTTCAGTTGCACTGATCTGATAATTCCAGAAAAGGTACTAAGGAACTTCAAAAGGTATGTGGAACCTTGTGTAGTATGTATGATTGCATAAGGTAAAAAACAAGATAATACATCTTCTATGGTTAAGTCGCCTTATTTATCAAGTAAGTGATAACTATATCCCGTTGGTCTTGAATAGCTGATACGCGGTTTGGCATTTAATGGTGTCTGCTGGAGGAATTGAACTAGAATCCCTAAAGCCTCCATTGGGAATATTTCTGCTCCCCAAATGTGATGTCAGAATAATATCAAATAGAATGTGTAGTACACCCACCTACTGAGGCTCAAACTGCTCTCTCCCATGACCCTTTCTCTGTAGAAAGTATTACTTATACTGTAAATAGCAGCCAAATTTCAAAGAACACTTCTCTACATCTTAGCCTTTTCCAATCTGGCTAAGCAAAGTGAAGCATGATTAGATACTGAAAATTTATAAATGCTGTATCTGAGAATTTCTAGGCAATGGGAAGACATCTCCCTAAGGAAACCGTCAGTCTGAAGTCTTCCCAGCTTTCAGAGCATAGCCAAGTCTTACCATGGCCTGGAGAATACATGGTCTGCCAGTGCCTGCTCCTCCTTCACCTCTTACTGGCATCCCCCGTCTCTCTGCACCAATGGCTGCCCTGCTTTCCTCTGAATGCCAGGCACCCTTTCACCCCAGGTGTTTGCCACCTTCTTCCTTCTGCCTGGATGTGCTTCCCAGATGGGTGTTTGGTTTATTCCGAATCACCTGGGTCTCTGCTCAGACGTCATCTTCTCAGAGAGGCCCTTCCTGACCACCCGCTCCATAATGGTACCCACATTCATCTCTGGCAGCCCCCCCTTGATCTACCTGTACAACTAGGCATCATCCAATAAAGCTGAAGATGTACACACAGTAGGACCCTGCAATTTTACGTACCTGACACACATTCATTGTCTGTCCCCCTCCCCCCCACACACACTAGGAAGTCACTTCCTAGAGGACCAGGGACTTTGTCTTTTTCCTTGCTGTGTCTTCCGTGCCTAGAACAGTGCTTGGCACATGGGAGCCACTCGAGAGCTGTTTGCTGAGAGAAGGAAGCTGTTGGCTGAAAGGAGGGCAGAGAGCACCTCTGGAGCAGGCCCTGCCCCACCAGCCCTCCCCGAGAGCTCCTGTGGCAGCTTACTTGCCTCTCTTTCGGAAACTTGCACCATTTAGGCAGCTCTTCCATGGGCATTCTTCTGTCACATGCTAAGCAACTTGAGACAAAGGTCTGTCTGAAGTTCTTTGCGTACTTTCACCCCTGCTGTTTTCCTTCAGGGCTTGGACTGAGCCTGGCACGCTCTTTGCTCACAGTAGACTCTTCAGCTATCTGCTAACAAGGCATATGGATAGCAGTCATCCTCCCCAAGGAGAGGAGCAGATTAGCCAGCACCATAATTCCTTATGCAAACTCCTGGCCCAAGCAGCATTTCCGTTCTGAAATATGAGTCTTTGAGTCTTATGGAGATGATAATCTTGGTGAGAGCAGGGACCAGCCATATTCACTGCAGGATCTCCAGTGCATAGCATGGTGCCCAAGGCCTGGTGCCCCAACTCAGTAAACACTCACTAATAATTCATTGCTGAAGTTTACTTTTGGCCTATGTGAAATTTATTGGTGATGTCCTGTGTTACACTAAAATTATAGGAATTTATTTACAACATCTGTACAGGATCTGTAGGGAGCACACAGTTTTTGATTATGAAAGAGGCTTTGTTGCTCATCTGAGCTCCTGTGCTATTGAACAAAAGGTGTTAGACACACACGCATTCCGTACTTGGGATATTCATAAATGTCAGACCTCAAAGTCTCTCCTGAGTAAATTACTACCTTTGCTTCATTTAAAGGTGCCCTGTGACCATAAAGAATCCAGCCACCTTTCAAAATAGAGTTCTGTTTCTACTCCCGCCTCACCAGAGGGTAAGCCTCAAGTGTTTGATTATAGAGGAGTGAGAACCTACTCTCTAGGATTAATGTAATAAGAGATCAAGGGCAGACAACAAAGCTACTCACAGAAAATCATGTATTCATAAAAAATAAGCCAAGCCAAAAGCCTACAGTTCAGAATATTTTCATTAATAAATACTTTATTGCAATGAACAGCTTAATGGCTTACTCTCTGTGTAGTTGGGGACATGTCTTATATACGCTACCTGAGCTGTATATACTTGTGTACACTGTTGGCTGGATGGGCTTAGGGAGAAGTAAGGGTCAAGGCTTTTGCCAGTCTTGCAAGGTGCATCAGGAATTCATAGAGAATGAGGAGTTCTCATTATAGGTTTCTTTCTGACTGAAAGGAGCATGGTGTGGGCAGAGCACTAGGCTGGGGGTTAGAAGACCTTTTGCTTCGTGACTCTAAATAGTCATTTAACCTAGTTGAGCCTCGGTGTCCTCCCTTAATGTGTCCTTGAGGTGGACACATCAAGGGGCTGTTTGGATCAAATGAGATCATATGACTGTGGATAAAGAAGTTCTGTGGAAAGAAGATGGGAGGGTAGTATTGCATACTGTCTTGGCAAGACCTCAGACTTGCTTAGCTGCAGCTCTTCACCCTCTTACGGACCTGCAGCTGAGCAGCTAAGTGTGATTGGAAATGTCATTCAGCTACGATGATTGGTATTTTTAAAAATGACTTCAAGCAAGAACTTAATGCCACTGGCATTGATGCTACATTCAGGACCATTCTTTCTCATTTCTAGACAGTGATTTCTTATATTCGCCTCTCTCCTGAAACCTCCAGCACCCTCTGTCCTCACTCTCAGCCAATGACTTGACTTTCCATTTCCCTGAGAAAATTCAAGCCACCAGAAGAGAACGTCTCAAAAGTGCCCACTGTCATATCCACCTGCCTATACTTCTGTCGGCAGATGTTGCTGCATCCCCTGTCAGGATGGATGACCAGGCCAGCATCTTCACTCGCACACCAGGTTGCATCCAGCCTTCCCTGTTGAAGTGCATGGCAGTGCAGTTCTCCTGCCTCTCTCCTGCTGTGTCAGCTCATTCTTCCAGACTGGATCTTCCCAGTCGATACACACAAACATGCTCTTGTTAATATCTCCCACTTAGGTAACAGACCTGTCATTGATTCCTTTTCAGCCATTAGCTACAACCCCATTTCTCTTTTCCTGTATGGCTAAATGCTTCCAATTATTTTCCATATTCACTGCTGTCTATTCCTCCTCTCATGTTTCTCTTTAAACTCATCGTCATCAGGCTTTTGCTCCCTCTAGCCTACTGAAAGTCAAGATTGCTGTCATCAAGATCACAACTGGTCTTCATGCTGCTAAATCCAGTGGTCAGTTTCCATCCCTCCCTGTACTCGATTCCACATCTAGCACCCTCCCTCCCTAATGCACTTTCCTCTCTTGGCTCCCAGGATATCACCCCTCTTGGGGTTCCCCTCACCTCACTGTTGCTTCCTCTCAGCCTCCTTTCCTGATTCTTCCTGGCCATTCGTTGTCTTGTTGGAGTGCCTGGAGGAGTCTTTGGACCTTCTCTTCCTGTTTCCATCAGCACTCACTCCCTCAATGATCTTACCCAGTCTGGAGTTTCAAATCCATCCAGAAGCTAGCATCTCATGCATCTCCAGCTGAGGCTTCCCTTCCAACTGCGAGCTCTCACGCCCCTCTGCCCTTGGAGAGGCAGGTCCTGTCCTACTTACCCTCCCAAGTGCTTACCACAGGTCACTGGCTTTGGCGTATGTGTTGGCCAGGGGTTGTCATCTTTGTGCTCTCCACTAGAATATGGGCCCCACAACGGAGGACTCTTTGTTTACTGTTGCATCTTTAGCACTTGACAGAGACCCTGGCACATAGTAGGTACTTATTAAATATTTAGTTAAAGGAGTGAATGTGTTAGGTCTCCATATACAGTAGAGACTCTAATTCACTGTCCCAGGCCCTGTCTCAACTCACCCTGCTAGTACTAGGGTGCTGGTACCAGTACTAGCCTTTCAGAGATGGTCTTTGTCTTAGAACTCTTACTAAATCCTTTTGATAAAATATGATTGTTTTCCTAGAACTCTGTTTAATTGATGTCAGGCATTCAACTATTCAGTATTAAATATATTCTCTACAATTGATTGGGGGAGGCTATTTGGGATAGTAGAAAGATCTTTGACTTTAGAGCTGGATATTTCTAAGTTTAAATTCTTGTTCTACCACTAAATAGCTACAGAGCCTTAGTTGAAATATAGCTGCCTTAGTTTCCTCATTTGTAAAGTGAAAGATTTGGTTCATAGGGCTATTGGGAGAAATTACATGCTGAATACATGAAATGCATCTAGCATGATCTTTGGTATAAAACAGACATTCTATAGTGGTAACTATTATGATTATGATCCTTCGCTATACAGATAATCTTTAGGATTGCTTGCAATTCAGAACTTTTTTAAATAAAAAAATGTAATTATTCCTTTTAAATACTGGCCGTTGGTCTTCGGTCCAGAACATAATTGTCTAATATAACATTGTTTCTGTGGTAAAAAGTAGATTTGATTTACATTTCAACTTATAGAGCCTTTTTCAGGAATTTACTCTGCTTCAAAGATCAAGGGCTTCCTTCTGGTAAAACTTAACAGCAGTGCTTAGGAATGGAATGCTCTGAAAGGATTGTCTTCTAGTTAATGAGAAAGAAACTTGTTTTTTGGGGGAGGTTCTAAAATGCCTTTATATGTATACTGAGCATAATTCCAAAGTTACACAATAAACACTCCTTGAATACTTGGTTACTTGTTTTTGTTCCAGAGACACTTACCTGAATTCCTATATCGAATGCCCTGAGGTATAGCTATGGAAAGTAGAGGTGATGCTGCTAAATACAATTTCAACATAAGCTTAAAAATGTCTTAGAGGAGCTTTTCTGGCTTTGAACTATAAACGTCAACAAAGCCATCTTTATGATAATTATATCTTGATTGTACCTTCTTAGGGAAAGGATTGTAAATGGTCCTAGCTCACAGGAAATTGAACAAAGAAGTTGAGATAGCACATGCAAACATACACGTCCATGTGTGCACAAACACATGGACTCTCACATACTGTTAAATAATGCGTGAGCAAAATATCAAGTGCAAGGTACACTCTAACACATTTCACTCTGCAATATGTGGTAAGTGCCAAATGAACGGGATAAATTTAAGTACTGCAATTTCAAAGAAGGAGTCATTAGCAAAGGCTAAAAATGGTCAAGGAAGGCTTCCTGGAAAAAGTGAGCTTGGAGCTGGGCATTGACAGCTGAGTCAGACTGTGCCTCATGATGCAGTGTGCAGGACTGGTCCAGCTGGGGTCAAGCGGGTGGCTCTCAGGCCAATCCATACCCTCCTCTGGGGGAGCTGGGGCAAGTCTGCTGGTTACCTCACTCCTTCCCTATCAATGCAGCCCATTATTCCTAAATCACATCCTTGTCTGCCGCTGGTGATTTTGGGTGCTTTATGGGCTTCGGATCGAGGCAGGGGGTTCTTAAGCAGGGAGGGCAGGCAAGGGAGTTTAGGATCAAGTTTATTGTGGGGAAGTATCTGAATGATTCATTTCCTGTGCATGTCTGACGCTTTCTTTGGAGATGAGTTGGCTTTGGATTTCTCTCTGGTGATGTGATTTGATTTGATGGATAATTATGGAAGAGAAGGAAAAGGAGATCAGGATTTAGACACGGAAAAACCTGACACCATTCACAGACACTTTCCTCCACCCACAGAAACCCAAACACTTAGATTGTGCCTTGTGGCAGGGGCAGTAGGGTGGCTGGAGACAGTTGTCACGTATCCACTCACTTGCCCTGCTCCCTGGATTGTTTACTTGGCAGCCATAGCTGTTGATAGTTGGTTATACTAATGGGGTGTGTTTGGCCAGGAGTCCACTGTCTCACTCAGGCCTTTCATATTAGTCATGAGTCATGAGGGGTTCTCTGTGGGCAGGGAGGCTGGGATAGAGGTGGGGGAGTTGGAAAAGGATGGACCACCTCTGTCCTGTCCACAGGGTGACAGCCACTCTTCTCCACAGAATCCGAACCTGCAGGTGTGTCAGTTAATTGTGAACCCTAAACAGGAATATAACATCGTCTTTTTTAGACCTCTCCAGTTTGTGTCCCTGCATAAGACAATGAGTTTTATTGCATAGGCCTAGTTACAAAAAAGCATGACCTGTGTGACGATGACTGTGACTATCCCAAGCTGTTCTGCTTTGGTAGGACAGTCCAAACCAGAGCCAGGGCCAGGCTTGCTTGGCAGAAGCTCTCTAAAGGAACAGGTGGTGGGAAACTTCTGACCCTCAGCCATTGGACTTATAACATTCTCTGGATGTGCCTTAGACATTACCCTGGTTTTACA